AAACCAGAATGGTAAAAATTTTTCATATGGCATGAAATTTTTATTTTAATGAACCTGATGACAAATTAGGACAGATAAATAAGTGCTTAAGTCTGAAATATATAATAATTAACTGCATAAGCAGTTATATCACGCTTAGAAATATTTGTTAGGAAGCAGGTTTGGAATTTTTTTAAGATAAATTGGGTTCTTTTTTATGCTTTTATTATGGACAAATGTGTTTGAATTACATTTTATAAACTAAAATTGCATGAGTGATTTGAATAGTATTTTCTATTGTATGGCATCATCATCCTCCATGTATTCTTTTTTTTTTTTCCCTTTCTTTTAACAGCCAGAAATCACTGTGGAAAATCTTCCTACTTATTTAAGACTTCAGAAACCATTATTGATTTTGTTCAGTGATGGCAGCATGAATTCCATATGAAAAAGCAATATTGACACTGGCAAACAGAATATCTGGATATGTTTACTCCTTGTTGGTTAAATCTGTAAGTGTACTTTTTATTTTTAATATATAAGAGGTAAAGAAAGTATGATAATTATTACATTTTCATTAGGAAATGAAATTCTCTAACTCTACCTTTGGAGGTAATATAGGACCAAATATGTCATGATATTTTAATAGCTAACTTCCCTTAGACAAGGTCCAAGATGACCTTGTTTTAGGTTGAATTTTATTCTACAAGTTTTTTAAAGTAATAATTTTTCCAATTTTAACAGTTATTGATGTTCATTGAAGAAAATTTGGCAAATACAGAAAAGTAAACATTGTGGTATTTTGGCCTTTTCCTTCAGTTCCTTCTTCTGTACTTCTATATTTTTTTAAAGTCCAGCCTATAATGTTACAGAAGGTTTCAGAGCATTCATCAGCAATATTTCCTAGTGTGTTTCTAGACGTATGGCTTGTGTTACATTTAATGTCTTGACCAAATTCACAAATACACATAAACACATATATATCCCTCATTCAGATTTATCAAATGAAAGAATATTTTATTTTTTAACTCATTTGAAACATTACAAAAGTGAGACAATGTAAATTTTTGCTGTAAAGAGTTTAATAGTACATCCTACTGCTCGAGGCAAATTTTCCAGGTAATTATCACTGTAGGTATCGAAGAGTAAAATAATATTTTACAAAACATGGAATGTGCATTAGGAAAACTAGGTATCTTTAACATACGGTTTCATGTGAACATAATTATTTTTCACTTCTTTAATTTGAAATTAACCCTTTTCCTTTTTCCTGAGGAAAGGCACAATTTTATTTGGAAAAGAAGGATTTGTAAAAATCTTATATATCTATAGTTATATAACTGTTTAATTTTTGAGCTGACATATGATCAGATACTTGACTAAACTTTGGGAGGAAACTATTGATTGCCTCAAGCCTCAATTGACAAGTGCTTGGGCTATGCCTGATTTTCATTAAAACTGTCCATTGGCTGCTTTTTTTCTCCTAAGAGAAAGAGAATGCCCCATAATAAAAAGAAACTTTTAAAGAATCTGATTTCTAGTCACATCATTATAGACTTCTTGGTTTTGGGAACATCTTTCATAAACTAAACTTACTGGTATAATACTATTTAAAGTTTAATGTTCTATAACTATTTTCATTTTTTATAGAAAGAACATTAATTAACACGTTCATTTGTTCCCTTTTATAGAAAGAATACTCCTGTGGGGAGAGGAATCTTGCAGGCATATTTTGACCTTGTGCCTCCCCTTCCTGTTCTGTTTGGGTGAATCTGCATTCAGGTGGCCAAGTATATGCATTTCCTTAAGACCAGGCTATAACTGAACTAAACCTTATATCATGGCTTAAGAAATTAGAAGCGGGACTAGAAAATCCTATCAGTAATTTTTTCTATTTTGTTCAATACATATGGTTCTGCATTTTGATCCATAAATTTTAAACTTTAAATGAAGCTAATGAATGCTAGAGTGAGCTGAATTGTAACATTTCTAAGTATCCTCAATAATAATATGCTGATAGCATTGTTTGTGGGACAGTATTTGATTATAAGGCAAAGTGCAAAGCCTTAATCTAGGACAGCTGGCTCACCTATGAAGGCCTCTTTCATCTCTTGAATTTCAGTTTACTAAGTCCATGTTGCTTGTATAGCTTGCCAATGTCTTCAAACATACAATTTTAGTAATTTATATAGTAAAAATTGACAATGGGGCATTGCTCTACTGAAGCATAAGTCCTTTATGCTATTTATTAAAATTGTAGATTTCACAAGATAGTTCTTATATAGCTTTTCCAATATAAATGCCAGTTTGTTTCTTTCTATAACTGTAAGCAAATATGTAGTTTTGTAAAGAAAGTGACAATATTTTATGAATAATACATTATTATTATATAAACTCTGGTTCTTAATACAGGCATACTCCAGAGATATTGTAGATTAGGTTTGAGACCACTACAATGAAGAAAATACATTAATTTTTTTGGTTTCCCAGTACATAATAAAAGTTATGTTTATACTATGCAGTAGTCTACTAAGCATGCAATAGCATTATGTCTAAAAAGTATATACCATAAGTAAAAAATATTTTATTGCTAAAACATGCTAACAATAATCTGAGCCTTCAGTGAGTTATAATCTTTTTGCTGGTGGAGGGACTTGCTCAGTGTTGATGGCTGCTGACTAATTTAGGGTGGTGGTTGCTGAAGGTTGGGGTGACTGTGGCAGTTTCTTAAGAACAACAATGAACTTTGCCACATTGACTCTCCTTTCGTGAAGGATTTCTTTGTAGCATGTGATGCTGTTTGATAGCATTTTACCCACAATAGAACTTCTCTCAAAATTGGGGTCAGTTTTCTCAAACCCTGCTGCTGCTTTATCAACTAAGTTTATGTAATATTCTAAATCCTTTATTGTCATTTCAGCAATGTTCACAGCTTCTTGACCCACAGTAAATTCTGTCGTGGCTAATCCATTTTCTTTGCTTATCCATAAGAAGCAACTTCACAACCATTAAAGTTTGATCATGAGATTGCAGCAATTCAGAACATCTTCAGTCTCCAGTTCTAATTCTAGTTCTCTTGCTATTTCTACCCCATCTCCACTTACTTCTTCAACTGAGGTTTTGAACCTCTCAAAGTCATCCATGAGGGTTAGAATAAACTTCTTCAAATCCTGTTAATGTTGATATTTTGACCCTCACATGAATCACAAATGTTCTTCATGTCATCTGAAATGGAGAATCCTTTCCAGAAGGTTTTCAATTTACATTGCTCAGATTCATCAGAGGAATCACTATCTATGGCAGCTATAGCCTTATGAAATGTATTTCTTAAATAATAAAAGTTGAAAGTCAAAATTACTCCGTGATCTATGGGCTACAGAATGGATGTTGTGTTAGCAGGCGTGACAACATTAATCTTGTACATCTCCATCAGAGCTCTTGGGTGACTAGGTACACTGTCAATGAGCAGTTATATTTTGAAAGGAAATTTTTTTTTTCTATAAATGTGCTTTCATCAGGCTTTTGTTGTTCTGCTCTGTTCATCAGGCACAGGCAGAGTAAACTGAGCATAATTCTTGAGGGCCCTAGAATTTTTGGAATGGTCAATGAATATCATTGGCTTCACCATGTGTCCTTTCAACTTTGAAGCCAGGCGTTTACTTCTCTCTGTGAAAAGTCCTAGATGGCATCTTCTTCCTATAGTAGGCTGTTTCGTCTGCACTGAAGAATCTGCACTGTTGTTTCGTCTGCACTGTTGTTTAGTGCAGCCATCTTTATCAATGATCATAGCTAGATCTTCTGGATAACTTGCTACAACTTCTCCACCAGCACTTGCTGCTTCATCTTGCACTTTTATGTTATGGAGAGAGTGTCTTTTCTTAAACTACATACCAACCTCTGCTAACTTCCAGTTTATCTTCTGCAGCTTCTTCACTTCTCTCAGCCTTCATAGAATTGAAGACAGTTAGAGCCTTGCTCTGAATTAGGCTTTGGCTTAAGGGAATGTTGTGGCTGGTTTGATCTTTTGTCTGGACCACTCAAACCTTCTCCCTATGAACAATAAGGCTGTTTTGTTTTCTTATCATTCACTGCAATAGTACTTTTAATTTCCTTGAAGAACTTTTCCTTTGCATTCACAACATGGCTGTTTGGCACAAGAGGCCTAGCTTTCAGCCTGTCTTGGCTTTCAACATGTCTTCCTCACTAAGTAAGCTTAATCATGTCATAGCTTTTGATTTCAAGTGAGAGACTCTTCCTTTCACTTAAACACTTAGAGGTCATTGTCAGGTTATTAATTGGGCTAATTTAATATTCTTGTGTCTTGGAATAGAGAGGCCTGAGGAGGGAAAGAGACGGGTAATGGCTGGTTTTTGGATCAGTCAAAAGACAACATTTATTGATTAAGTTCATTATCTTATATGGTGTGTTTTGTGGTACACCCCCCTTCAAAAAATTTACAGTAGTAATGTCAAAGATCACTAAAACAGATATAGTAATAATGAAAAACTTTGAAATATCATGAGAATTATCAAAATGTGACACAGAGACATGAAGTGAGCACAGGCTGTTGAAAAAATGGCACCAATAGACTTGCTCCAAGCAGGATTGCCACAAACCTTTAATTTGTAAAATATGGAATATCTAAGTGCAATAAAGTGAAGCACAATAAAGTGACATATGCTTGTATTCCAAACACTTATATTGAACTCAGACTGAAACTGTCTTTGGTTTCTCCCTATACATTATTATTATTGCTTTTGTTGATCAGATGGTTCTACTCTTATGGATTATGATACGTCTGATTTTACAGTATAGGCAAGTACTTCAAAGAAAGTTACTGTTGGAATAAAAATAATAGCCAGTATTCACTAAGAATGTGTTCTTTTTCAGCCATGGTGCTAATTTATTTCAGGGATTATCTGGTTTATTCTTACAACCACCTCAGAGATTTGGGTCTGGGGATAATCACTGTATTCTTTTCAAGATGATAAAACTGAGATAGAGGTTAAGTAATTTGTCAAAGGTTATTTACTAATAAATACCACAGCAAGGATTCAAACCAAAGAATGTAATTCCAGAGCCCCTATTCTTAACCAAATCTTCTGATCTATCTTAACATATCATTTCCTTGTTTTATTGAATCTCTAAGTAACCATGTGATTTAGTCAAATAGTTGTGTAGTCACTGAGATTGTCAGGTGACAATTGAGTTTGTACTGGTTTTATTTAAACTCCATAACCATTATATCTAATCTATATACATAAACATTTAGAGGAAGAATTTCTGCTTAATGAAATAGTATTTTAATAAGTATCATTATTTTATATTTAATTTGAATAATAGCTAACAAAAAGTACATTTCTTAAATTATTTTATCTAATCCACATAATAAAGTGGTACATGTTGTTACACATAAAAATAAGTACCACTGTGTTACAT